AAGCAAGACCCTAAAAATACACATGCAAGGGGCACGGTGCCCAAGCTCCTCATGTTTGAAGGTGTGGGGGTGGGGGTTGGCTGCTCTCGGGGAATCTGTGCTTGATTCCCTGAGAAAGGAACTGAATTGCAGTGGTGGGCGTTCCAATGCCAGCAGGTTGGCACCATGGAGATCTTAGTGCATGGCCACAGCAAAGACAGTTAGTGTTCCCCAGCATGCACACTGTGCCGGGCACGCAGTAGGTGGTCGGTAATCCTCTGATGAGTGAAGGGTTTGACTGGTGGATTTTCCATCCAAGCAAAAGGTGGCTGCTGCGGTTTCAGCTGTAACTAGCAAGCTAATCCGATGGGTGCCCTGAACCCAAGCTCTGCATGCACATAGAAGCGGTCACCACAAAGGGCAGGACTGTGTTTTCTTCTCCCATGTGTCTTGAGAATCCAGCCCACTGTCCGCTCCATGAACACCGCTTGAATGAATGAGTGGAAGAGGCTTCTGCACCAGATCAGTTTGTATCCCACGAGGTTCTTTGTGAACCATAAATGTGTCCCAGTGTCACCAACACCCCTGCCCCCATCATCTGCTTCTCTATGTGTACAGTCAAGTTCCCTGGAACAAACAAAATGCTCCCTTAGTCCCCAGGGTGAAGCTTATTTGTCATTTTTCTAAGTGGAAAATAATGTGTACTTTACTGCGAAAAAAATATGGGATTGTTATAGGAGGAAAAAAAACCCCAGAGGGGCCAAAATAAGATGCTAAACAGCCATGTTTTCGTCACCCACAGATAAAAGTTGTTAGCAGCCAGGGGCCTGTCCTCCAGATGCTGAGGCTGCCGGTGTGTCTGAGCGCGTGTGTTATCTGTGTGTGTGTTTTCAGCCCGCATTTCATACATTTGTATGAACATCATCCCATGTCAATATAGTCACCCATTTATAGAGGTCGCTGATTGGTGCTTACTGCAGCCTGAATCTACCCCCAGCCCCTTTTCTTCCTTCCTTCCTATTTTTTTTTTTTGTAGTAGTAGGTTTTAAACCCAAGTCCTTCACTCTGAGTTACATCCCTAGTCCTTTTATTTTTTACTTTGAAACAGGGTCTTGTTAAGTCTCTAAATTGCCCAGATTGGGCTTGAATTTGTGATCCTCCTGCCTCAGCCTCCCAGAGCACTGGGGACACAGGCTCTGGGTATGTGCCACCACGCCAGGCTTCTTTCTTTCTGTAAATGCATTTATACCAAGTGGGTGTTTCCTGGTCTGCCACAGTCCCCACCCTCTCCTACTGCTGAGTTTGCCTCTAATCAACTGCCTTGTTTTTTTGTTTGTTTTCCATTCTATAGATGCACTGTAATTTATCTAATCAGACTGTCTGCTGGGCAGTTAGGTGGTTTGTAACCTTGGCGAACAGAGCTGTGGGATCAACTGTCGTTGGGAGACAGGGCACTTGCCAAGCCCAGGGTAGAGGAGCTTTTGGGAAAGGACAGCACCAGGCTGCACCAGGATTCGGCCTTCTGGCGACAGTGGTGTGCCCGAGCTCCCTGCGTTATGGGGAGATTTGAGCACTCCAGGCTTCCGTGTGTCCCCTTTGGGTGATGGCTTTGGTACTTGGGGCTGACTGAAAGATGAGGGTGGAGTTCAGGCCGCATTGAAGAGTAGACACCAGATGCCGGAGAGGCATGGAAATGAGAGAAGCTGCCTTTGGGAAGTAGTGCAGAAGACATGAGAAACAGGGAAGAGCTGGGAAAGGCTTGGAGTTGGAGGTCAAGGAGCAGAAAGTTTACAATGGGTGAGATATGGCAGGGGCAGAAAGGTAGGGGTCTGGGGGGCTCCCAGACTTCCGGTGTGGGGCTCCAGCTCCTGAGAATGACTGATTTTTACCGATCTGCTGCCCTCGGAGGAGAAGCGAGCATGAGTTAAGTGAGGGCGCAGGGTGTCATGGCAGGGCAGAGGGGAGGTGCCCTGCAGACAGCTCAGATGGGACATTCAGTCATAGTGGAAGTGTCCTACCAGCCTGATGACAGCCGCTGGCCACGGAAGCACAGACGGTGGCTCCTGTGGCGGAGACAGAATGCTTTATTTTGCTTAGTCTTAACTAATTGAAGCAGCTCCATGTGGCTGGAGTGCTGGAGAGCTCAGGTCTGGGCTCAGCGCCACCTGGGTGGGGACGAGAGCAGGGTGCTGTCGGTGGAAGGCGTGGTGTGGGTCGAGACAGGCAGAAGGAAGGTTCAGAGCAGGAGGAGCTGGGAGCTGAGGACGAAGCCCTGGAAAGGAAAGCGGCTGGCTTTAGAGGTCAAGGAGGATAAAGCCCGGGCCTGGCCTGGATGAAGGGGTGACCACACTGGCAGGTGTTTTAAAGCACTCACGACACAGGAACTCAGAAGAGAGCTTGGTATTGGCTGGGTCATCGGTGACCTTGATGAGAGCAGGCAGGGTGGAGCAGCAGGTGGAGGGCCAGTGGGTGCCGAGCCAGTTGTCTTCCTGTCCAGGAGCCAGTCGGTTTGGGCCAGCGCTCCATCTTCTGCTGGACTTCCTCAGGAGGCACCTATAAAATATTTGGGGATGTCCAGGCCCGGGTGAGGCAACCAGACAAAGGCGCTTTTGCTGCCTATACATGGGCAGGGTGCAGGTGGGGCCCTGGGCCACAGAGTTCCCAGGTTCTCTCCTCCCTGGGTCTCAGGAGCAGCCAGGCCCTGAGGGTGGCGCAGTTGCTGGTGCTGGGGAAGTGGGCAGTGGGCCAGGCCACCTGCAGAGCGGGGCCCTGGCATGGGCTGCTGGGCCCTCTTCTCTCACATGGTTCCCCAAGCAGGGCCAGCCTGCTGCCTGAGGCTTCCCAGCTGAGAGGTGATGTGAGGGCAGCTGCTCCACTCAAGGAAATCTTTGTTCCCCCTGGGCCGCCATGGCAGCTCAGAGGCTGGGCTGGCCAGGTGCCCCGGGGCCCGATGCCTGGAAGCCCATGTGGCCGCCTGTCTGCAGGGCCTGGGCAGAAGCTTAGCTGAGCTCTGCTCTCTGCTCCAGGTAAGTCTCCTTGGCCAAGGTATAGTTGCCAGGGAGAGGAGGGAGATGGTTTAAGACAGCAGAATTCTTGGTCCCTCCTCTCTTCACCATTTTGCTCCCAAGGAGACCTGACTCCTATGCAGGGGGAGAGAGGCCTTTGCTCATGAACTAGCAAGTTGCTCTGAAAGAAGCTGCCTTTTTCATGCCCAGACTCACTCAGGCTTTGGAGGTAATGTAACCACATCAACCTTAAAAAAAATAAACCCTCCTGTTATGGCTGTGTCTAGATGTCCCCTCAAAGCCTTATGTGGTCATAGGTGGGGCTTTTCAGAGGTGGCTGGATCTGGAGTGTGACACTGGGACTGATTCATGATGCAATGCTAGGCTCAAGGGCACTAGGATTAAGGGTGTGAGCGCTGCCCACCCTAAGCAGTCTGGATAAGATGTGAGGGGCTGTGGGGGTCCCTTGTTGCGTTTGCTATCCTTTGCCTGCCTTCCCTGCCACCCTGCCTCGGAGCCCGCTGATTATGGACTGAAACCTCTATAAACTGTGAGCTAAATAGAACTTTCCCCCTTGAACTTTGGGTGTTGGGTATTTTGTCCCAGCAATGAGAGAGAAGTAACTAAGACACCGCCTTTTCCAACACAGGGAGCAGCTTCGGGGAGAGAGGAAGGGTGATTCTGAGCGAGGTCCCCCCCTCCCCAAGAGGCTCAGCCGTCAGCAGCTGCCCAGCTTTCCTTCAGTAAGGGGCTTCATCTTTCCTGCTGGGGGCTGAGGGAGAAGCCCTACACCAGCTGGGGCTGGCCAGTCATAGAGGGGAACGAGATACTGAATGGCCCTCTGGAAGAGGTGAAGAAGTGTTGTTTGTCAACTAGAAGTCCCTTGTTGCCTCCCTCCTGCTCATTGAAAGTTTGGGAGTTGGGGAAATGAGCAATTCATGTGACCAATGGCTTCCGGGGAAGAAAAGGGCTGAGAGCAGATGTCCCGTGTCAGGAAGTGCCGATGGTTGCTGGGGTCAGAGGAACACTTCAACGTCGTGCTTTTTCTTTCTCGGCATCCACACCCTGCTGCAGCAACAGGAGAGGTCTACGCTGCTCAGAGAACCCCAGTGGGCATCAGAGAGTGAGCAGACCCAGGCTTCCACAGTGGGGGAGAGGATTTCGGGAGGCAAAGGCAGCCAGCGGGCGTGAGGAGGGCTGGATATGGGGGAGAGTCAGGGATGCTGGGTTGAAAGTAGGACAGGCCTGATGCCGAGCTAAATGGCATTCATGACCTGCAGGCCGTGAAGTGTGGGATACAGGCCTGCTCTCTGCCAAGTTTCCTCGCGAGGTGCATGGAAAACTTTGGGGTGGTGTCCAGGCCCTAGAAAAAGCCAGATGAAGAGAAGATATTTGCCTTGGATGGGTGAGGTCTGGGAGATGGCCAGAGCCCCTGGAAAGCATCCGGTGCAGGCCAATGGTCGGAAGCAGAGGCAACAGTCAGGAGCTATTGAGGAAGGCTGAGGACAGATTAGATGTGCCAGATGCAGGACAGGAAGGCAGCTGAATGACTCCCAGATTTCTGGCCTTCTGTGGGTTCATAGCTCCTAGTCCTTCCCCCACTTACTTCATTTTAATCTAGAACAGAGCTGTCCAAGAGAAGGTGCTGCCATGATGAAAATGTTCCATTCTGTACTCTCCGGTATGGCAGCCATGGGCTGCATGTCACTGTCCAGGGCTGACACATGCTGGGCAAGTGCCGTAGCGCCGGGCTGCACCCCGTCCACTCCCCACCGGAACCCATCTCTAGCCATTCAGCCTTGAGCTATGACTGGGCACATGTCTGGCTCCTCTCTGGACTGTAATGTTCTTGAGGTCAGGGACTATAGTTAATTTACGGCTGAATCACTTCCTCTGCATCTCTTGCACAATGCTGTGCACATCAGGAGTGTTCAGTAGACCATGCCTCGGTTAACTTGCCAGCTCAGGGGGCAGCTCAGACTTGCCTTCTAAGGCTCCTTTCAATTCAAGGAGATTATAGGCTTCTCGTCTCTCAGAACAACCGCTTACCCCATGAGAATGAAAGGAAGAAAATAGTGTTTACAGAATGCCTTTGTCAAATGACACCGGGCTGGGTGGGGCAGCAAGGCAAAACCCAAGCAGGCGGTCCCTGTGCTGTAGGAGTCAGGGTCAACGCGCCGGCACGACCGTGTGCATGTGGGCCAACAGACAGGACCAGTTTTAAATACATGTCAGGAACCTTGGACTTATGGGTGAATATTGTCTCCATGAAGGAGTCACCGCACGTCCGTAGGAGATGAGGATATAAGCTGTCTGCCTGGAAGTGTCCTCAGACCTCCTGCCATCCTCCAGGTCCTGTGAGTTGCTGAGCTCCTCCCCTGGAAAGGGGGCTTCTTGTTGGGGGAGGTCAAGGTGGAGATAGACGAGATGGCTTGAGGAGGGGGCTGGAAGGAGGAATAAGAAGACAGCGTGGAATTGGGCCGTGTTCCCAGAGCAAGGGAAAGGCAAGCCCTGGGTCATGCTGGAATTGTCTTCGGTTGCTCTGATTGCAACACATCCTGGAGATAGCACTATGTGGGTCCGGATGACGAGGGTGGCCCACCTTTGGCCAGGATGGCTTGGGCCCCTCCCTGGACTTGGCTTCGATGTGGGGAGCACATTCCTCCAGATAGCTTTACTGGGCGAAGCCTCAGCCTTTATAGGGAGACTTTGTTTTGCTGGAAATCACTAACAGCGGCTTGGAGCCAAGTTTGGCTAGCTGTTAGGCAATATTGTTCTTGCCCAAAGGTGACTAAAATGATCATAATGTCATCATGCTGACTTTGCGGTGGGATTTGGTAAATGGTGCTTCAGATCTTGCTGAAGAAGGAAAGACTTCAGTCTGGGTTTGCTTTGGCTCCGAGCAGGAAGATGGCCCTCAGTCCACCAGCTCCAAGCTTCTGTCTGCCAGCAGAACTGTCCCCTACCCCACCCCTACCACTATGTTCTCGTTGCTCACCTGGCTGCATCCTGGGCCCTGTCTCTTCTTACCAAGGTATAGAAAATTCCATTTCCAGGCCTGAAAGAGACGCACCAACAGGCCAAAGGATGCTTCCATGGGTAACACAGCACTGGTTCTTGGCTGGGGACAATTTTGCCCCTCCGCCCCCTGGGGACAGACATGGGGCAATGTCTGAAGTTTTGGTTGTCATTATTTGAGGGAGGATCTAATGGCATCTAGTGAGCAGAGCCTGGGATTCTGCCTACATCCTACAATGATCAGGAGGTCTCCTGGGTGTCTCGCCCAAATGTCTCCCATGACCGAGACATCCCAGGCTAGGACAATCCAAGGGAGCTTTTGCTTCCTTTTGTTGTCATTTCCCAACTTTCCTGAAATGCGTATATATTAGTTTAGATTAAAACGAAAAGGGTTAAAGAAAGGGAAACTTTCTTTCACTCATGTAAGTTTAACATTTAAAAGAAAAAAAAGACCAATTATTAAGGTGCTGAGGAAAAACAGGAAACACAGAAATAGAGAAATAAACAGATTTAGAGAACCCAGCTTGACAAATATTTGTTGAGCACCAGGAAGCCCAGGATGCTGCAGGACGCTTGGCTGACCAGGCTGGACAGGGGGCGTCTCAGGCTGGGAGGAGCGCGCCCACCTGCTGGGTAGGTCGCCCAGGCCAAGCAAAGCTCTTCAGTCCCAGACAACGTGTGAGACACAATCAGGAAGGGGTGGGCTTTCCCAGCTGGGGTCTGGGGCGGCTGCAGGAGACGGGGATGCACTGGAACGGGGTCCTGACAGGCCAGGCCGACTTGTGTCTCCTGGGGTCAGCTCTCTGAGTTCAAGCACAGCCCCATCACCTAAAACAGGATGGTCCTGGGCCAGGGATTTAGCTCAGTGGTTCTGACGCCTGCCTCGCAAGTGCAAGGTCCCGAGTTCGATCCCCGGTACCAAAAAAATACCCCCCCCCAAAAAAAAAACCCAGGATGGTCCAAGGCTAATCCACTTCTCCAACTCTCTGCTTTCCCATTTAGAGATTTGATATTGTACCCAATGGTATTTTCTCCTTAAGGATTTGCCACAGGTCCACCCGAGGTCTCCGATGGGGTTGAAATGAGGGATGAGCAGGCATCCTCACACCCAACCCCAGCCCGCAGGGTGGTCAGGGATCCGTGCAGTGCCCGCTGCGGAGTCAGTCCTGTTAGCCTGGTCGTCAGTAGGGAAAGGAGACCAGAGGGCGCTCCTGCCCAGAGGGAGAGTGCAGGCTGGCAGACAGGTGCCAGGCCGTGGGTGTGGGGTGTGTCTAGAGCACCAGAGCCCAAAGCCCTGTCCTGCTTCACCGACTCACAAGCTGTACTTTCACGAGGGTTCCTGGTGTGCACCGCACAGTGGGAGGAGCAGGGGCTGGACCACAGGAGCAGGGATGTGCAGAGTGGGTGCAGCCCAGGAGCCCGGAGAGACAACGGTGGATGGATGGGATAGATGGGCAGGTGGATAAATATGTTTATTTATAAATTAACACACACAGAGTTTCTTTGGCAAGTGGTAAGGCAGCATCAGAGACTTTTCGTGGGGGCTGGTCACCGGAACTCCCTGGCTAGGAAGTCCCTGGCCCTGACGCTTGGGAAGATGGCTGGCTGGTCACTGGAGGTGGGAGCCATGCAGTGGATGGCGGGGGACACAGACCGGGCATGGAGGCGGAAGGAAGTGTGTGTGCAGCGGGGCCAGCCTTCTTCTCCTGGCCTGCAGACTGCAGCTCCACAGGAGAGCTGGGCCCCGGCCGCAGCTCCTCCTGCCATGTTCTCCAGGGTGGGCACGGGGTCCCAGTGGAGAGAGAGCCTGGAAGATTCCCTGCAGCCAGGGGAGTGAGCTCACTCACGTGTGGAGAGAAAGCCACAAGCACAAAGCCCGAGCCATGGAATGGTAGAGAGGATACCACAGCTTCCCAGGATGAATCAAAGGCAGCATTCATCCGGATCCGAGATTACTGACAAAGAGAAATCCATCTCAGGATTTTAAATTTTCTCCAGTACCCCAGAGGACTGAAGCACAGGGTGGTTCTTATTTCTCTGGGGCTCAGTTTACTCACTGGGTAGCAGAGAGGGATGGATGAGGCGTACTCATGAATACTCTGAGGAGTCAGACTGTACGTTTTGGTGAATGAGAGAGACTCAGACCGGACGGCAGTCCTCTCCAGCCTGCTGGAACGGCAAGCACGGTGATTCGTGACTGCAGGCCCGTGCACTTCCTGGCTGCCCAGGGGCCTGGGTTATACCACTCACAGAGAAAGCAAGGGGCTGCTTTGAAGATTTCAAGGCCAAGTGCTGCCTGCAATGGGCTCACCGGAACCCCTCCCCCAAAACAGTCACCTCTTTCTAGGACTGTCTGGATCCTGGAGGAGGAGGCTTCTGTCTCAGGCTTGTGCCAAAAGCACCACCAGGAGGAGAGGTGGGCTTGCCGTGGATGAACCATGCTCTTCCCTAAATTGGCTGCTGGAGGGCGCTCACTCACACCCCCTGGTGGCAGGAAGCACAGTGCAGCCACCTTGGTACTCCCAGCCCCACTAGGGCTGATTTTGCCAGTGTGGCTTCCTCTTGGATGGAGATGGTGGTGGAATTTTGCTCACTGGCCTGAGAGGGGTGGTAGGCAGTCACACTTGGGGGTCACCCTAGGGGGCTGATGGACTATTGGAGAGGCTGGGTGGGCAGACACCACTGTGCTCTGTGGGAGCTCAAAGCCAGCCCAATGGCCACACCTCTGGTGGTGGAGTGTGTGTGTACAGGTGAGTGTATGTACAAGTCTGTGAGTGTGTATGTGTTTGCACATTGCCTAATGTCATGGGGCTGGACGACACCTCAGGTTCCTTGGCTGCGTCTCTCCGGAGCCCCTTCCTAACCAGTTGCTTTCCCCTGTCTCTTTTCCATCAGGGCACCGTGGGAAGATGGGCTCCCGGGGACAGAGGCTCATGCTGGGAGGCTGCTTACTGCTGACCTTTGCCTGGGGCCCAGTGCTGAGCCATGTGCCACGAGGACAGCAGGAACGGCAGGAGCAGGAGGGGACCCAGGAGCCACCACCCCCGATGGACCACGCTGAGAGGTGAGGGGCTGTGACAGGTCAAGCCTGGAACTTGGGGGACCCCATGGCACTGGCTCACTGGGAGACACAAAGGGGTGGAAGCCAAGGTTGAGGGATGGTCCCGAGGAGGCTGGCCCTGGAGGACAGACAAGCCGGTCCTCCTTTGGGTCCCTGGATGCCTTGCCTGAGGGCAGGAATCCAGCCTCCTTCCACTGCTAGGTGACAGGGATGAGTGGCCAAAGGCAGGTCACCATGGCCTCAGCATCAGTGAGGCTCACACAGCCAAAGGTCACCTTTCCTGAGAGGTTATGCAGCACTTCGGAATAGCGCTTGCTCCAGCAATGTACAGCCTCTGGGCTACTGGGGATACACGAATGCTTAGGGTTGTTCATCAAACTGTTGCCATCAAACTGTGAGGTTCTAGAGGCCTGGGAAACAGTGTCATGCTGACTTTGGGTTTCTTGCTCATCCTGAGCATTGGGCCAACTTGTGCCAGGCTTCAGGCTGTCGGCAACGGGCAGGGTTTGGGGACAGGAACACCATTCCTTTCTTCCTCCTCCTTTTTCCATTCAACAAACACTGAGTGCCTGCTGTCAGGCAGGCTGTCCGCTAGGCACTGGGGAAGCATGTGAGTTACAGTCCCCGGACTCTGGATATTCTAAGGCTTTGGGGTCGTACAGCAAGGCAGGCTGGATAGTAGGGGAGTTCGCACAATGCTGGGGGCTGCAGGGGCAGAAGAGGGAGGAGAAGAGCCAGAAAGAGCAAGCAAAAGCGTGAACTGGGTCTTAAAGGACACCCCGCAGGCTCCCCGCTGCAGAGTTAGCCAGCCCAGCTGCCAGCATGGGTGTGCAGAGGTGCCGCTACTGGCTTAGGCCAGGATGGTGGTTTGGGGTGGTGGGAGCTGCGGCCTGAGATAGCAAGTGGAGAGGTGAGCCTCAGGCAGCAGTCTAGTGGGGAAGAGTCTCCCCTGGACTTCCTCCTACAGGCAACAGGGAGTCACAGGAAGGTTTGCATTTGATGGTGCTCTAGGAGGGAGGGTGGAGTGAAGCGTTAGAAAGCATGCACGGCTACCATGGCGGTGAATTCCAGGGGATGGTGATGTCAGAGGCATCAGTCGGGGTGCCTCAGGGCGGGCGTGAATGTGGCTGTGCGGCCCAGGGACGCCTACGATGAGGCCAAAGGCCTGTGCTGGACGGGTGCTGGAATCGTGTTCGGAGGAAGTTCCTGGGTGGAGGGATGTACACAGGGTTTCAGTTTGGGGCATGTGGCGTCTGCGGAACCTGTTGAATCTCTGGCGAAGTTTTGACCAGAGGTTGGTGGCTTAGGAGACATGGGGCCAGGGCATGCACGTTTGAGGCTTCGGCTTATGGCTGAGCTGAGCATGTGCAGATCCATTTCCCAGGTTGTCTGGGGATCAAGAATGGGAGCAGAGTTAGACACTGGCTAATTGAGAAGGGCTTTGCTGCCCCGGAGATGTTACACACAGAACACCTGGGCAAGCACAGCAAACGAGATCATGGTGCAATGCCCCGTAGTGCCACAAGGTGGCACCATGGAGCGATCGCCCTCCAGTAGCGGTCAGGCAGGAAACAGCGTCGCCAGCTGCTGCTTCTCCGAGGCATCCTAAAGATCAAGTTGAACACTCTCATTTACAAACGAGACAGCTTAGGAGACAACTTTCCAGAATTATAGATAACTGATAGGGCATTGTGTTACATCATTGCAAGACCCCAGCCCGAGAGCGACTTCTCCTGTGCAGGTTTTGCTGCTCATGTTATTACTGCTCACACTACTACTGCTGCTGTTCACAAGGGCAGGGGCTCTTTCTGGAGTTTGGTTTGGGTCCCAGAATGTGTCGTGTGCCCACACTAATTAGAGCCTTGAGCATGCAGGTGAGGGAGAGGGAGGCAGGTTGGGTGACCGAGACACAGTCCTCAGAGGAGAGGTGCATTCCTGCCCTGCGAGTTCATGGCTTGTACTGTGATGCTTTATTCCCTCAGGGATGAAGAAAAACATGAGAAATACAGCCCCAACCTGGGTGAGGAGCACCCTGCTTCCGGGTGCCTTCGCTGCTGTGACCCGGGGACCCCCACGTACCAGGCGATCCCAGTGCCCCAAATCAACATCACGATCTTGAAAGGTCAGTGCAGAGAGGAACATGGCGCATCTGGGAGCTGCTGGCTGCAGGTTGGGAGGAGATGGCAGAGTGCTCAGTGTGGGGCTGGGCTCCCTGGGGACAGGAGCAGAGCAGGGCTGTCCCCTGAGGGGAGAGGAAGAAATTTCTATTTTGAGGCTCTGGCTGTTTTCCAAGAGGAGCCCGCAGTGCTGAGAGCAAGAGAGGAACCTGAGCCTGTGGGGCTCTCTGCCCGCAGGGCCGGGTGGACAGCAGGGCTCTGAGGTCTCTGTTTTGAGGTTTGGGGCCCCCCGGCACAGTCCTGCGGGAAGCTTGGTACCTGATCCCAGCTAAGCCCAGACATCTGCAGTCCATTTGCTCGGAGTGAGCCTGGGAGCCTCTTGCTTGTGGACAAACCCATATGTTCCTTTATCTTTGCCAGGGTTTTCCAGAAGGAAAAAAACAAAAACAAAAACCCAACAACAAAACAAATGTACTGCTTCTGGATGAAAACAGATCAACCCTTGCAACTGAGTCTGCTAGCTTGACTGCTTTGGGAATCAAATTTCCCTGGTGCCAGGATGGGAGCCTCACCAGGTTGTGGCAGAGGTGAAGCCAGCCAGGTCAGGGCTGTGGTGTCGAATCAGGACGATGGCACCTGGGGGCAGAGATAGGAAGGCCAGGCACAGGTGACCATGGCGCTGCTCCCTTGACCCCTTTGTCTTCCTCTCCCTTTTAGGTGAGAAGGGTGACCGAGGAGATCGTGGCCTTCAAGGGAAATTCGGCAAGACAGGTTCTGTGGGTGCCAGGGGTCACATCGGACCCAAAGGGCAGAAGGGGTCCATGGGGTCCCCCGGGGACCGGTGCAAGAACCATTATGCGGCCTTCTCAGTGGGCCGGAAGAAGCCCCTTCATAGCAATGACTACTACCAGACGGTGGTCTTCGACACGGAGTTTGTGAACCTCTATGGCCACTTCAACATGTTCACAGGCAGGTTTTACTGCTACGTGCCTGGCATCTACTTCTTTAGCCTCAATGTGCACACGTGGAACCAGAAGGAGACCTACCTGCACATCATGAGGAACACGGAGGAGGTGGTGATCCTGTATGCCCAGGTGAGTGACCGCAGCATCATGCAGAGCCAGAGCTTGATGCTGGAGCTGCAGGAGCAGGACGAGGTGTGGGTGCGCCTGTTCAAGGGTGAGCGTGAGAACGCCATCTTCAGCGACGAGTTTGACACCTATGTCACCTTCAGCGGCTACCTGGTCAAGCACACTGCCGAGCCCTAGTGATGCCCCTGGTGCATGCCAGAGACTGCTGATCCACTCCTCTTGCCACACTGGTACCCTGCAGACCCTGGGGTCCAGTGCCAGGCTGACCCCATCAGCTCTTCCTCTAGTCCTGGCTTCTTTGCCCTCTGCTTCCCCAGCTTTGGCATCGACAAGACACCCTTGATGGGTCAGAAGTCAAAACGGCCCATGGGCCCAGCACTGGCCACTGCTGTCAGTAGAGAGCAGCTGGCCGCTGAGCAGCAGGACAGCAGGACCTCCAGCCCCGCCGCGTGTGTACAGCCTTAAGTGACCGGGTGTTGCATGGTCTCACAGTGTCAGGCCTCTCTCCTGCTCCTGGAAGTAATTAAGCAAATGCTAAAGGTTCCAAAGGAGTGAAGTCAACCTTGGAGGCTGAAGAAAAGTGTTGTTATTTTTGCTTTCCCAGCCAGCTGGCTCTGTGAGAGAAAGTGTTTTCACTGCGGGTCGCCTGAGATACCACAGGAGAGATTTAAAGGGGAAACACGGGTGCTGAGGGAGGAGCTGGCTTCCCAGGGGTCCAGGAGACCACATGTGGCTTAATTATATCAGGTCACAAATGAACCTTCTTGGGGGACAGCTGAACTGATGTCCCTGTCTTGCTGATGTCACTGTGGCCTTGAAAGAGGACTCAGCAGGTCTTTCTGAGCCACAACAGTGAGGGCACTGGGGCTTGGGGCAGTGAGTATCAGCTCCCCAGAGGGAAAGACACACCCGCTGCCCTTGGCTCTAGGCTGGCCGAAGTGGCCTGCTTGTTTCAGCTTATGGACAGTAGCTGGGGACCTCAGGGACCCCCTCCCCCCCAGGCCTGCAGATGTCCCCATGGGGAGCAAAGCTCCTGGTACTTCCAAGCACCTCTGCTCCCCCAGGCCACCTTGGAGCCCTGGTGGGATCTTCATGTCAGCAGCTCAGGCATCAGCTTCCTGATCCTCTTCCCAGGCAGATCAGCCACAAAAGCACCAGTGCCTTTGATTCTGTTTCTATCAGTCCACCTCATACCACCACAGTGCTGTTTCCTCCAAGCTTAGGATCCCCACCTCAGCTTCTGCTGTGTTGGTTGCAGCCAAGTGACAGTACCATCCCGACCCCACAACCTTCACCCAACCCTGCTGCCAACAGCCTAAGGCAACACAGAGGGGCTTTCTCTGGGCCCCAGGGCAGGGGAGAGTGGAAGGTGCTGGAAAGCCCCTCTCTGCTTGTTTCCAGGGCTCTTATTGGGTCAGTCCTGGGGCCAGGGCAAAAGAGGAAATAGGTATCCAGGCGCTGGGATTCAACTCTCTCTCTGAAGGGTAGAATGTATGGAGAGGCGGGTGGCTTAAGGCTCTTCCAGGACTGCTAGAGTCTGCTGCTGCCACACAGGTGCTCTGGCTGCCACTGGCTTTGGCTCCATCTTCAGCAGCAAGCAGCAGACAGCAGGGTCACGTCCTGTGCTCTCTGGGAACCTGCCGGGCCTTCCTTGTCTCACTCTACACTGGTGCTCAGGGTCCCAGGTTGCTCTGCCCACCCGCTCTGGTCCTTGGCCCCTAACCCAACAGCGTGGTCCTTCCTTCCTGCTGCCTGGAGATCCTTGGTTTTGACTTATGCTTCCTCCCTCTGGGGCCTGGCTGCTGGGCTGCGGGGTTCAAAGTACCCACCTTTGAAGGCCCTCTGCTGGTCAGACTGTACAAGCCGTGTTTCTGCCAGACTGTCACCCATGCCCCACATTGCTCTTTCCGGGAAGCATTAAACTTGGAATCATGATTTGAGCATCCCAGCCTCTTCTGTCTGCTTATTGAGCTGAGTCCTCCTCCTGTCCTCCCCACCCTGACACCCACCTGGGGATGGGGACTCATGCACCGTGGCGGGAGGCAGAGGCTGGCTCTCCCGAGTTGGGATACAGCATCCTGGGAAGAGTACAAGCCTTGGAGGCAGTGCCCTGGCTGAGCCCACAACCTGGACAGTTGCATACCCTGCAGCTGCTGTAACAAAGGACCACAGCCTGGCTGCTGAAAACAACAGAAATGTGTCCTCTCCCAGTTCTGGAAGCCAGAAGTTCAAAAGCAAGGGACAGGCAGGGCCTCACATCCTCCTACAGTTCTAGGGGCGAGTTCTTCCTGCCTCTTCCAGCTTCCTGAGACCCCCGGGAATTCCCTGGCTCAGAAAGCATCAATCCAGTCTGTGCCTGCTCTTTCTTCACAGGTGTGCCTCAAGTCTCCCTCCCTTTTCCTGATAGAACACTTACCATTGGATTTAGGATACACCCTAAATCCAGGATGCTCTTCTTTTGAGATCTTTTTTTTTTTTTTGGTGCCGGGGATTGAACTCAGGTCCTCGAGCTTGCGAGGCAGGAGGCAGAACCACTGAGCTAAATCCCCGGCCCCTTCTCTTGAGATCTTGAACTTAATTATACCTGCAAACACTCTATTCCAAGTAAGGTCACAATCACAGCTACCTGAGTATAAGACTTGTCTTTTTGGAGGATGTAATGCACCTGACTGTAACAGCCTTTAGGCTTGAATACACTCACCAACAGCCCCTTTACATCTGAGCGGTGAAGGACAGATGTTTCTCCTTCTTTTTATTGCGGGCCAACTGGGTTAGCAGCCAGGCCCTCCTCCAACTTCCAGCAGCCAGCACGGAAGTGGGAGCCAGCAGGCTGGCAAATAGCTGGCTTCCTGCCTTTGCCTGGCCCTGGGTAGGTCCACGTGGTCATGCTCAGCCTTGGGCTGTGGCCAGACACTGCAAACCTGCTGTCTGTGAGACAAAGAATAGGTTCCCACCTCCACAGAGCTGAGGCCACTGGGCATAGATGGGTTTGCCCTGCAGCTGGGAGTGGGTCAGAGAGCATTTCCCACAGGTGCCTAGAAGGGATGAGTCAGGACCACCAGATGCCACTGACTGCCTTTCTCCTGACAGTCACTTGGCCCATGTACATGGTCCCACTGCTGCTGGCCTAGCCACCACAGGAAAGGAGGCACCATTGGGTCCATTTGGTGCCCCTTTTGATGCCCCTCATTCTGTGGGCTCTTCCCTTCCCCATTCTTTCATGCTGGCATTTACGCTCCTCCCACTCTTTCTCCACACATTTACCTTGGTCCTGCTTTGTGGCAGCCCCTGTGCTAGGTGCTGGGGAAACAGTGACAATTCAGGAATGGCCTTTCAGAGAACTTTTCCTGGATTTTAGCTTCCAACAGGATATGGACACCCAGTCTTCTCTGAATTGCATGCTCGGTACCAAGTTGCTTGCTCCATCTGATGCCTTCCCCAGGCAGTTTACTTCCACAGGGTCCGGCCTTGTTTCCTATCTCCAGCTAGTGAGAAATTGGCTACCTCTGGAAAAACACTTGGTTGCATCTCAAATATTAGTGTTTTAGCAAAAGGAGTTAGAAACAGTTGATGACTCTGCCAAAAGAAAGAATTGCTTATATTAGGAGTGTCCAGAGTCTGTGTAGCCAGTGGTGGGATGAAGAGGTTACAGCTGACCCTAATCCTTGGGGATAATTGTCCATAGGGCTCACCACAAAAACAGTGCGTGATGATGGAAAACTGACTTTCCTGAGCCATCATGGTAAGTAGGACGAAATGAGCCATTCTTACTAAGACCATGAATAAAGCTGAGAATGTCACAGAAAACAGTAAGTAAAACAAGAGGTCTCTGAATACAAATGCATGGAGCTGGATCCCTACCTCATGCCATATACAAAATTAACTCAAAATGAATCAAAAGAGCCAAATGTAAGAGCCAAAGCTATAAAGTTCTTAGAAGAAAGCCTAGGCATAAGTCTCCATGACCTTGGATTAGGCAATGGCTTCTCAGGTATGTCTGACATCAAAAACAGGAAAAAGGAAAAGAAAAAAAAGTGCATATCACCAAAATTTTAAACCGAGGTATTTTAAAAGACACTATTAAGAAAGTGCAAAGACAATCAAGAAAATGGGAATAAATATTTGCAAATTACAATCTAGAATCAATAAAGAACTCTTGCAATCCAATAATAAAAAGACAAATTGGGGCCAGGGATTTAGCCCAGTGGCACTGTGCCTACCTCAAGCACAAGGTCCTGAGTTCAATCCCTGGTACCAAAAAAATAAAATAAAAAAAAGACCAATAATCCAATTAAAAGTAGGCAAAGGATCAGAAGAAACATTTTTTTCAAGGAAGATATACAAATATCCAATACACACATGAACAGATGCTTAACATTGGTAGCCATCAGGTAAATCCATAGTGAGCTGTAACTTCACAGCCAGTAGGATGGCTCTAACCAGGAAGACAGTCAGCATTGGTGAGGACATGGAGAGAGACAAGTGGAGCCCTCAGGCAGTGCTATCCCGAAGGTAAAATATCCAGCCTCTTTGGAAAACAGTATAGAAGTCTTCAGTATTCTAATCATAGGGCTATACCCAACCCAGCTCTTCTGCTCCCAGGTATATATCCAAAAGAAGCAAGAGCACATATATACATGCAAACTTGTAGATGGATGTTCATAGCAGCATTATTAATAAAAAAGTGGATGCATTCCAAGTATCCATCAGCCAATGAATGGACAAACAAAATGTGCTATATCTATGGAATGGAATGTTATTCAGCAATAAAAAGGAATAAACTACCAATACATGCTACAACAGGGATGAACCTCGAAAATGTTATCCTAAGGGAAAGAAGCCAGCCACAAAAGACCATAGATTAAATGACTTCACTTATGTGAAATATCCAGGATAGGGGAATACATACAGACAGAAAGTAGACTTGGGCTTTCCAGGGTCTAGGGGTGGGGAGAATGGGGGAAATGAGCATTGGGTACTAATGGATTTGCAGTTTCTTTTTTGAATGATGGAAATATTCTAAAAATGATTAAAGTAGATTTTACATTCTGGGATTATACTAAAAACATTGAATTGTCACTTTAAGTGGATGAGTTATATGGTATATGAATTATATCTCCATGAGACAGTTGTGAAAACAAACTAAACCCCCAAAATCAAGTACTCTCACCCTTCTCTGGAAGCCCCTGAGTTGTAACTTTTAGGGCCAGGGGCCAGAGGCCATTGAGGTAGAATGGGAGTGTCAGGGTTAGTTCTTCCAAGAACATTATTCAATAAGCATTTTAGAATCAACTGATGAGTGAGATCACTCAAGCCCAAGAGGCTGACTTGGGTGCCAGGGGAAGCATTCCAGAAGGAACGAGTAAGTGAGGGCCATGCCTTTCTTGCTGAAATCTTTCACAGCTGTGTAAAGACCGGAAAGGCCTGGTGACCTCAAGTGCACCCCACCTCGGCAGGCTGCAGGCTCCGGCCCGTGCAAAGGCTTGATGGAGCACAGCCCATTCTCATTGTGCAGATGGCCAGGTGAGGGCTAGGAATTTCCACATGCTCACATGGGCCGGATGATTTGAAAGCTTTTCTGCCTAGACAGAGAAAATGCCCCTCCAACCATTCAGTCGAGATGCCACTAAGTTAGCTATCCATGAAGCTTGAGATCCTACTTACTAAAGATATGCAACAGGAACACTCACGATGTGTGGACATCTCACAGTAGAGTCACTGCCAACTTTATGTGTTTTGTTTTTTTTTGGTACCGGGGATCGAACTCGGGACCTTGCGCTTATGAGGCAGGCGCCAGAACCACTGAGCTAAATCCCCGGCCCAACTGCCAACTTTAAATAACTATGCGTGCTCCATCCAGGGAGATCAAAGAAGACAAGATTGAGAGTTGTGGCAGAGAACTTTAAAAATAATCAAAAAGAACCAAATGAAAAACTCCAGAAGTGAAAACTAAATGAATGAAAATAAGAACTTGATGGATGAGTACAACAGCATATAATACAAAGCTGAAGAGAAAAATCAACAAATTACAAACTAGAAGATAAACCAGAAGAACATGAAGGGTGATTGAAAAAAGTTTAAATTTTAAAGATATATTACAGTAAAAGACACACTGGCATTAATGCCTTCCCTTTGAACACACTTATCCTTCTTGCCGCTTTCTGAAGCAGTTCTGGGAGTTCTCTTTTGTAAGTGTCTTTAGCTGCACTGTCACGGCTGCCTTAACATCTTGAACTGATGCTAAACATTCCCTTTCCATGGTCATTTTTATTTTGGGGAAGAGCCAGAAGTCATATGGTACTAGATCCAGTGACTAAGGTAGATGAGGACAGACTGTAATGTTTTTTTATGAGCCTGCTTTTTTGTTGGATGGCACCCAGCAGCAGCACCCACCATCATCCTTTGATAACACTCTGTATATCCAGAAAGAAGGGTGAGAAACAAAAAGGTGTAAAATACAAGGCAGAAGACACAATCTGCACAAAAGTGATGTTTCAGGAAATCCCAGTCTTGATGTATAAAAACTTGCCACCAAATGTAGCAAGTGCTCTGAGGCCAAAGAAAGACAAAGACAGATCTAAGATTGCACAAAGTACAATTGTTTGGAGGCTTTGGACAGAAATGTGTCTTGGGTGGCACAGAGATAGGTGAATCCTCACACCCCAGGCAGAAGGAAAGGGTTTATATGTGAAGCTAGACAAAGGTGGGCTCAAAAACTAGTAACATGTCTAAAGTCAGTTAAAAAACAGTCTGTGCATCAATGGTCACACACTACTCTCGGCTGAAGGTCTTAATGTTTGTCTTTGTCCTGTAGGGGTTGGGATGTGTGTCATGGCCACCCAGCAGGCAAAATGATGGTTATGGCCAAGAAGGCTGCAGTCTCATCAAATTGGATCCCTATAAGTGTCAATAAGAAAGTCCAACATTTATGTGATTCAAGTCCCAGAA